ATTTGGGTGTGAAAGGATAAATGCGGCTGTATGAAGAATCTTAAAATGTTCTATATGCTTATTTGAAATAATTCCGTTTAAAACAAAAAATCCAGTGTACAAAAGAAACTGACGTAATTCAGTCGCCTTCCATTTTTTAACTTTACTTATACTTTGTGGTTTTCTTGCAAAATCTGTTGGAATGTATTTGTGTAATAATGTTAATCTTTCGGATAAGAGACTGACTTTTCTTGCATCTAATTTGCAAAAATAATTATTTCCCTGTATCATTTGAAAAAGCATTCTTCTCATAACTCCTAAATAGAGTAGATGCATTGGATCCAGTATAAATTTAGTAACCATAGAAAAATTAATTTCCGCTAAAGGAGAAATACCATTATGGTGTTCTATCTGTGTTTGTAGCAAGAAATTCTGATCTGTTCTTTTTTCAGCATCAATTTTATTAAATAATGTTGCACCAAATGGATGTGATCCTTTTTGAATACACCTTTCGCAACCATAGAAACCATTATGTCCTTTAATTACTTTAAGATACGCTCTAGCAGGTGCATCACAAATAAAGCCTGAAATTGTAACTGAATATTGTTTTTCATCGATAATTATACCAACATCACAAAGATTTTCATATTCTTGTATAAAATCTTTTAAATATTCGTGTACATCTGGAGGTTTAGATTGCCCACAATATACACCAACGATAAAAGGATCAAGTTTATTATACACTGATTGATCTATCTTGCAAAGTATTGGCCAAAATTGAATTGATGAAGAATTAGCTAATGGCAATCCATCAATATTCACAAATAAATTTATTTCTTTTAGTGATTTTAATAAGGGTTCTTTTAAAAACAAATTTTTTAAATTATTGGCAATGCCAAAATAACAATATTTTCCATCAAACATATCAAAAACGGAACTACTTCTTGGTGTTTTTAATAAAGTTCTAGCATCTGAAAATGCAATAAGATTATGTTTTTGTAATGTACGTAAAAGGGAATTTAAAGCTGAGTGAGAGATTTTGTATTCAAGAGCCCACTGGGCAAGATTACTTGTTAGATCAGATTTAATACTTTCTATAGAATTTATTAACACATTAAAATTATTGTGAATAGAAAATTCTGTAATATTATTGTCATTAGAATTTTCTTCATCAAAATCTTCAAATAAATGATATTCGATAGAAGAACATACGCTGTCAGTTTCATTATTAATATTACAATTAGAATTTATATTTTTATCTTCATTTGTTAACGAATCATAAGAAAATTCATAATTATTAAATTGCTGACAATACTCAGATAAGTCAGAATTAACAGATTCTTTAGAATATTCTGAATTGCTCAATACTTCAATACTATTTGTTTCAATATCCTCTTTTTCAATTGTCGTAAGATGCTTTTTAACTCGTTCATTTATTGTTTTCCATTTAGTACGTCTCTTTGAAGACATTGCAATTAAATTCTATGTATGCGTGGTTAAAAAATATATTTATATTTTATATATGTATATGATTTCATTAAATCTATATGTCTAAAAATATGAATTTATTTTTATATATACTTTTTATATATCTATATATAATCTCTGTATGTATGCAATGGAATGGATATAAAAATAAATACAAAAATATTTTTAGAGGATAGGATTGAAATAGATATCAAGGAAAACAGCACATTAATCTGCAAAATATGATTTGAAAAATGAGCTATTGAGTGTATAGTGCAAGAGGGAGAAAATAATAAATCCTATAACAAGGAGTAAAAAAGATTAAAAAAGATTTTTACCTTGGCTGTAAGATAACTTCTTTTCTACTTTTTCGTACGCAAATGTGAAAATTTGATGTTAAAACTCAAAGTAGCCTTTTTCGTAATTATCTTTTGCTTCGTCGTATACGAACGAACAACTGCTGAGATTTTGCTGGAAAATAAAGACCTTGTAAAATAATAGTTATAAACAATTTTACAATCTAAAGAAATTCTTTAAAAATAGTTACATGTAGCTATTTTAATAAAAAAACTAACCTTTCGTTCTTCGTGCACGTGTTCCTTTTCTTTTTTTTATTCTTATAAAAAATATTCAAGACTGCATGTTCATATACTAATTGAACAAATAAATGCTTTGCTAGCATACAAATTTTAATTCGAACGAAAAATGTAACGATAATAACGTGTACAAATACGTCTACTTCTGTTTAAGACAGCAGTGAACATACCACGCACTGGTATCAGGTTAAGTAACTTATGGCGGCATGAAGCACATGGCACAAAGCAACAATTTTATAATCTAAAGAAGTTGTACATACATTTATATTTATATTAAGATATGAATAAAGTACAAAAGAAATTCTTTAAAAATAGTTAGATGTAGCTATTTTAATAAAAAAATACTAACCTTTGTCGTTCTTCATGCACGTGTTCTTTTTCTTCTTTTTATTCTTGTAAAGAATATTCAAGAATGTTCATACACTAGTTAAACAAATAAATGCTTTGCCAGCATACAAATTTTAATCCAAACAAAAAATGTAACGATAATAATGTGCACAATACGTCTACTTTTGTTTAAGAACAGCGATGAATACACCACGTTGCACTGGTATCAGGTTAAGCAACTTATGGCGGCACGAAGCACGAGGTGTTTTCAACTTTGGGCCGCGCCGGCACTCAAGAATACGTGTGATCGCGTACATGTGCTGCGCAGAACGTTTTGCGCAGCACATGTACGCGATCACACGTATGTGTGAGTGCCGGCAGCGGCCCAAAGTTGGAAACACAGCCGGCACGAGGCACGAATCTCTCTCTTTCTCTCTCTCTCTCTCTCTCTCTCTCTCTCTCTCTCTTTCTTTCTAGCGCCCTCACTCGCTCTGCAAAACCGTCTAGTATTACTCGAACATGGTCTCTTACTTTTATGTCCGATTCATATTAACAAGCCGAATCTCGAATTGAATAGCGAATCTTTTGATGTTTTGCCGAAATTCGAAACATTTCGATGTCTAACAAATCAAATCGAGCGTTGACAATGACTTGGCCATTGACTGCTGACGGGCCATGTATAATGTACAACTTGTTTAAGCGTGTAATTTGTAATTTGCATACGTAGATAAAAAACCTTTAAATTTACTGCCAATATCATTACACATCAGATCGATTTACTGATTTTATAAAAATGTAACGGCGTGGCCGTTACTAACGCCTCGCGGGCCGATCACCCGCCCGCCACTTGAGGCTATGGCGCCTAAGGCGCCCCTAAACGCAAAAACATAAGCGATACACGGGTCACCCTACCCCAGGGGCGCCCCACTACAACCCCCAGAGGCGCCCCACTACGACGCCGGCGTTACCCCCACCACAGCCTCGATGTAGAGTGGGGGAACCGCCGGCAGGGTATATAAGCCGGCTCGACGGATGAGCCGGCACCAGTCCTGTTCCGGACCTCCTAGCCAGGCAACGGGCTTCTCGTTGTTACGCCGGGTTTCTCGGTTTCTGGCCTCCTACCTTTAGTATCGGGCAACGGGTTTCTCGTTGTTACGCCGGGTTTCCCGGTTTCCGGTCTCTTCCTGCTACACGCCGGGCAACGGGTTTCTCGTTGTTACGCCGGGTTTCCCGGTTTCCGGTCTCTTCCTGCTATACATCGGGCAACGGGTTTCTCGTTGTTACGCCGGGTTTCCGGTCCTGCTACACGCCGGGCAACGGGTTTCTCGTTGTTACGCCGGGTTTCCCGGTTTCCGGTCTCTTCCTGCTACACGCCAAGCAACGGGTTTCTCGTTGTTACGCCGGGTTTCCCCGTTTCCGGTCTCCTCCTGTTACACGCCGGGCGACGGGCTTCTCGTCTCGGTTTCCGGACACCGATATAGGCTATATGCCTCAGTACGTTCGATCTCCAGATTTCGCATACCGGGTGACCTGTAAGTCCTTTCCGGACACCGCTACAGGCTATACGCCTCCGTACACCGTATCTCTAAGTTATACCGGGTAATTTGTAAGTCTTTTCCGGACACCGCTACAGGCTATACGCCTCCGTATTTTGTTTATACCGGGTAGTCAATAAGTTTCTCTATTCAGGCTTTATGCCAACGAACATTTTGTTTACTTGTTTCTTTTTGAATAAACCAAAGCATTGTTAATAAGGAATAAGCGAGTCTGAATCTCCCCCTTCCTCCCGAATCCTGGAACCGGCAAGCCGATCCGCGGCGTCGGGAAAGGTAAACCGTTACAAAAAGCATAGATTTTCCAAAAATTATATGATCCATTTAAAAGAAAAAATATCACACAGTATATTATATAAAAAATTATAAGATAAAAAAAATTTAAATATAATAAACATATAATATTAAAATTTACTAATGAATTTAACATGTTTCATAAACATTTACTTATAATAATCTAATAATATTAATACCTCGCAAGATATATATATATATATATATATATATATATATATATATATATATTGTACATATCACATGAGCACTGCAATATTGATAGCATATTTGGACTTACGCATTAAACAATATTATAGTATTATCATATAAATACTGCAATGTTAGCAGCATATTTAGATTAACTTATCAAACAATATTGATATTATCATAAATTTGTAGTATTGGCAGCATATTTGGATTTACTTATCAACCAATATTGATACCATTATAAATTTGTAACATTGGCAGCATATTTGGATTTACTTATCAACCAATATGGATATTATCATGAATTTATAATATTGGCAGTATATTTGGATTTACTTATCAACCAATATTGGTACCATCATGGGCACAATATTGGCAGCATATTTGGATTTACTTATCAATCAATATTGGTACCATCATGGGCACTGCAATATTGGCAGCATATTTAAATTTATTTATCAATCAATATTGGTACCATCACGGGCACTACAATATTGGCAGCATATTTGAATTTATTTATCAACCAATATTAGAATCATCATAGATATTGTAGTATTGGCAGCATATTGGATTTAATTATTAACCAATATTGGTG